GGGTTTAGAGCTCAGGGTGTAGGATTTCAGCCATCTCTGTATTTTTTGAACTCGAGTTTGGAACTTAGGGTTGTAATAGGACCCCTCGGCCGCTTTCCTTTCTAATCGGCTTCCTGTTGTGTTTCTTGAAGCCGGGAAGTCTGAAAAATTTGTTGTGATAGACGCCTTTGTGCGTCATCACGACCGCGCATGTGCTGTTACACTACTGTGCTGTGTGTTGTTGCTCTACCCATGCTGTGTGCAGCAGTCTACTCGGCTGGGACCTCAGATCCGGCTGCAAAAAGCTTAGGGTTTAGGAGCTTGGTGTTCAGGGTATTAGGGTTAAGCTGTATATTCGCAAGGGTTAAGCAGTATATTCCCATACATAACCCATAGATTAGCAGCTATACTGGCCCCCTCTAACTCTGATAAGGTCCCTCGAAACCGTCCTCTTGCTCCAATCCAACCCCAACCCCAACCCCAAACCCCTAAACCCTCAACCCCAAACCCCTAAACCCCTAAACCCTAAACTCCGAAAACCTCAAGTTTAAACCCAGTATCGTCATCCATTCCAAGAAGCAGGAAGAACCACCGGCAACTGTCGACTGGTCTCATCTCCGGAGGGTCGATGTCTAAGCATTAGGGTTTAGGGCTTAGGGTTAAGGGTTCAGGGTTTAAGGTTAGGGCTCAGGGTTTAGGGTTTGGTGCTTAGGGTTTAAGGGCTCAGGGTTTAAGGTTTAGGGTTTAGGGTTTGGGGTGTACTTACTGGGGGAAAGTCATCAGTTCGGGAATACCTTATATAGGGATTACATAGGAATTTTCTTCCTTTACTCCGTAATAATCTGCAGTAAGTCTAGGGCTCAACGGATTTAGGGTTTGGGGTGTTTAGGGGGTTCAGGGTCTTTAAGGGGGTTTGGGGTCTACGGGGTTTAGAGTCTTACCGTTGACGGCTATGGAGGCCTGGGTGCAAAAGGGTTGAGGGCTTAGGGGTTTGGGGTTTTAGCGTTGAGGGCTTTGGGTTTAGGGATTAGCGGGGGGGGAATTTAGGGGGTACAGTTTGGGGCTTGGGGTTTCGGGTCCAGGGCTTAGGGCATAAACTGTTTGGTTGGGTGTGGTTCCAACAATTAGGGGTCCTCCTTGTGTACCCCAAACCTTTCATAGTGAATGACAACTATTTTTGGAGCGCGCTTACAATTCTTACAACTTTGCTAAAACTCGAGCAACCTCCTCCCGTCCTTGGTCCGCTGAAGCAAGCCCTAAACCCTAATGTGAACCCATTATTAACGAACCCCCTCCTTTTGAGGGACTTAATACTAGGATCCCTATTTTAATCCTTATTAAGGGGAGGGGGTTTATTAATCAGGGGTCTACGTTAAGCCTTAAACCCAGAAGGTGGTCATTGTACCCTTAGCTTGGGTTGTTTTTCTGGGCTTGAGGATCCGCAGAAAGAACTTCAGGGGATTCCGTTCGTTCATTGAAGGTCTATGTGAGCTATAGTCGAAAATCCTTGAAGGGGGTTATGTAAGGGATGATACAGGGGAGTATTATAGGGGTGATTGAGGGGGATACTAGGAGTCTGGATCCTAAACTCTAAATCCTAAACGTTAAACCCCTAGGGTTATTAAGGGGATACTAAGAGTTTAGACTATGGGCTATGTGTTGGGGCCATGATAGGTCTACGATCTGCGAGTACAACCCTGGAACCCTGCTGTTGGAGGGAATGTGGCAGGATACCCGGCCCTAAACCCTCAACCCTCAACCGCGTAGCTTCTTTCAAAAGACTGAGCGATGCCTGGGTTGCTGTTAGGGGCCTTAAAAAAATTGCCATTGGGTTTAGGGTTTAGGGTTAGGGGTATATGAGCCATAGTCTAAACTCCTTAAAAGGGGTTATATAGGGCAGTACTATTGGGGTTACTAAGGGGGATGCTGGGAGTTTAGAATGGCCCAATTAGTGAATACGGGGTTTCCTTACTGTAGTAACTAAAAACCCGACACCCTAATCCCTGAACCCTAAAGCAGCCCAGATGCTTGCTTTGTGTTTCTCAGGTCCTCAGTGAGCCCTGCGTGACAAAGTTTCAGATTTCCTGGGACACAGCTGAGGAGGCAATTGGCAGCTTATACGTACCTTTAGGGGAACATGGGGTTTGATAGAGGTTATACAGGAATTATATGAGGGTTTTATAGGGTGGAAGGGTTTAGGGTCTAGGGGTCGGGGTTATATAGGGGTATATAGGGCATCGCAAGTTGGTGTGACTATCACTGAAGATCGGGATCTGTGTTACCAGTGCCCTTATAGTCAGTGTGAACAAAAATGCTGGGACACAGTAGGATGACTGTTCAAGAGCTCCGACCTTTACCCCTAAGGCTTGAAACCCTAAAGCCTAACGTCTACGGCTCAAGGATGTCCGTGACACTAGAAGGGATAGGCCGAATATGTATGAACCCCTGGTCAGTCTCATTCTGCATGGATTTCAAAACCAGCCTTTTATTGAATACGTAAGGCCTTTTGAAAGCCGGGTGCGAAGTCGCTCGGCCATGCTCGCAATGACGAGATGCGTTGTGCTGCTGGCCTCTCTGCACCTTGCGACCTCACAGTCACAGCTGTCTCAAGAGACCCTGCGGCGCATAGATTGTCAGCTGGCTTCCGAGGCATGCGACCACACAGGCAGCAATTTGAACCTGCTGCAAGTGAAGGGGCGCATGGTGTCCGAGGAGACAGCAAAGGCAGAGCGAATCATCATGAAAGGTGTCAGCTACGGACCATCACCTTTCACCTCTGCTAAGAAGAACAAGCACCAGGACTACTTCTGCGATGCGGCTGAGCCTCAGTGGGGAGAAGTGGGCCGGGGGGATCTTCGAATCATCCGTAGCCTGGGGGCAAACACTGTCCGCCTCTACGGCAATGATCCCGACTCTCGGTTGCTGTAAAGGAATTTAACAAAAACTACTATGATAAGGAAACCGTATTGTTTATCATACGTATATCCTTAACACGGTACCCTAAGCCCTAGCCTTATAAACCCTACACACCTCAAATATGGTACTCTAAGAGCTCTAAGCCCATTTTGCCCAAAACATGGTAACTTAATCCAAGTTCTTTAAGCCGCAGCCCTAAACCCTAAACCTAAACCCCTAAGATTCTTGAACCCAGGACCTGCGCCACGCCAGCTTCCTGGATCAGGCACATAGCCTTGGCTTGCAGGTCATTCCCGGGATGGGTGACAAGGCTTCTGGGTTGCTGTTAAGGAACTTAAATTAAGGGACTATCCCCTATAATGGAGAATCAAATGGAAAAGAAAATGGAAAATGAAATGGAAACTGGGGGAATATAGGGACTTAAGTAACTTAATTTAAGTTCCTTGACAGCAACCCAGGCTTTCGAGACAAGTCAGTGCAAGGGAGGATCTTTGGCTGGCCTTTTAGGCTTTAGGCGTTTGGGGTTTAGGCTTATAGCCCCCTTAAGTAGATAGATTATGGCTTTCGGTATGTTATAATGAGATCCCCATATACCCCATATTCTATCTACTTAAGGGGAAGTATAGGATTTAGGGTATAGGATTTAGGGTTTAGGGTTCAGGGTTTAGGCTTTAGCCTGGCCCTTAGGACCTTTTTGTTTTGGGGTTTGCAGTGGGCCCTTCATGTTAAACACCCGCCACCCCCAATATTACATGTGGCTGCCCAATCTATGAGCCCTCTTATGCGGGAATATTCAGCCTTTAAAAGTTGATGATTTGTAGGGGGGGGCGGCCTGCGGTCAGCTAAGGAAACTTCTCATGCTTTGAGGGTGCCAAGGAGGCCTACATGAAGAACTTGCAGAACGGATTTCTTCTCGACAACCGAACTTACCACCCAGCCATTAAGTACTTCATTGTGGCTTACCTGCGAAAGGCAGAACGTGAAGTTTTTGGGTTTGTATATTCAATCTTCATAAAACCCTCAACCCTAAGCCTCAAGCCCAGGTGGTGAACGAGCCGGAGCTCAAACTACCGAGTCTCGCAGAACCCAAGAAGTTTGCCAAGGCTGTTCCCGAAATACGGTGGATATTAATCCCGCATGACCCCAAGTGCCTCAAACCTTAGGAGTAATGATACTTTTTTTCAATACCAAGGTCATGCAGGATGTGTAGCATGAACAGTAGGGGTCCCCATGATATATTCAATATATTCCCCGGATACCATACGGCTTGGGGTTTGGGGTTTAGGGGTCCATGTTTGGGGTTTAGGACTCTCCAAAAAGGGACCCAGAATCTTGCAGACCCTAAAGCCGACGCCCTATATAATTTCCTATAACAGCCATAGCCTAGACTCCTTACAGGGGGTTCTAAAGGGACTATATAGGGCTTATCAAGGGGGATACTGGGAGTCAAGAAATCATTTTACAACCTTGATAAGCCTTGGGTTGGGCCCCCACCCATTAATAGTGACCCCAAGAGATAATGGTAATTGTGTTAGGGTCCTCATATATTCCTAGTATACCACTATTAGTGTGGGGGCCCAACCCAAGATAAGCCCTTCAAAGGGTCTCCTAATCTGCAGAGGCTGTTGCGACTGCCATTGACGGCGTGCTGGCGGCTGAGGAGGAATTAGGAGTCCGTGGACCCCGACCTAACTTGACCGTCACTTGGGCTATATCCAGTTGCACAGGAATATATATATATATATATGGAAATGTCGGGTCATATATTAGGGTTTTACACGGTTACAGTGGGTGATATGTGGACAAGCAAGGTTATGTAGGATAAATCACCCTAAACCCTAAACCCTAAGACTAGGAGGGACCTAACCACAACACCCTGGACCCATGAAGGAGAATCATTGGCTTGATTGCTCAATGGGTTTTCATATGAGCCATAATCTAAACTCCTTAAAAAGGGGTTATATAGGGGATTATATAGGGGGATATTATGGGGGTTATTAAGGCGGATACTAGGAGTTTAGACTATGGCTCATATGGCCTTGGGGCTTAGGGTTCAGAGGCTTTCAAACAGGAGGGCGTTTCAAAACGCTGGGATCAGACTATTGAACCCTTAAACCATCAAAGCAGAAATCCATTAAACCACGAGTCCATTAAACCACCAAACCATCAAACCACTAAACCAATGGTTTTGGGCCCATGTAAGGAGGAAGATTGGTTGAATGGTTCGCTGGGTTTCTGATAATGGCAGAAACATGCAGAAACCATCAGTTTAATGGCCCAATGGTTCAATAGTTTGCTGTGTTAATAGTGTAGACGTGTAGAGCTTTAGTATTCGAACCTTGGTTTCGAAACCGTACTGTTCTCTCGAAAGAAGTGTAGATTGATGGTTTAGTGGTTCAAGGGGCTCCTTTAACACAAGCGGGACAAAGTTCAGACGGGGGGCAACGACTCGCACCTCTATATATGTCTAGAGAGATTAGGGCCATGTACGCTAGGAGGGACTTTACTTGGAGGGTCAGGGGGACATGGGTCATAGAGGTTACTAACCTACTTACTCGCCTACTTACTAAGTCCCCCTGACCCTCCACGTGCTACAGCTTCAGCACCTCATAACTTCGGGGGTTTCTCTGTGAAAGTCTTAGTAGGAGATCTATAGGAGTCTAGGAGCAACCCGGGTTAGTTTCTCGTTTGCCTCATGAGCCCAAACCCCAAACGCTAACCCTAAATCCTTAACCCTAAACCCTGAAGCCTGAACCCTAAAACCCTTAACCCTTAAACCTGAACCCTCAACCTTAACCCTAAACCCTTACGTAACTCTTCACTCTTAACCCTAAACCCTGTACTCTAAACCCTAAACCCTAAAACCTTAACCCCAGGTTACTTTCTCATTTGCCTCATGCAATCGCTGCTTCAAGTTTGGAGACCGGCCTGCTTTGGGCCAGCTGTGGATGCTTGGCTGGCTTTAGTTAGGGTTCAGGTTTTGGGGTGTAGGGCTTAGGGTTTAGGGTTTAGATCCAGGGTGCACACCCTAGGGTTTCAGGATTTAGGTTTAGGGTTTAGTGGCTTTAGTTTGGCTCTTGGGACTTCAAATTTGGGGCTTCCCACCAATTTTTCATGAGGAGGCTAAGACGTTGACTGGTATGAGCTGATCTGAAGTTTTCCGAGGATGCTTCAGGATGCGCTTATGAAACCGGAGAAGTATGGCGTCCAGGCCACGCAGAACCTTGCCGAGTTCTTCCGCACGCGCTTCACATACAGCTTCAACTCAGGAAATCCCTCAGGCGAGATCCAGGAGCTCTTCCTCAAGCACTACGTGGAGATCTTCCCATCCACGCCCATATTCATTGCCGAGTATCATAACCCTGGAAACCCCAACTTGCAAGGAGACGTGGAGGACATCTTAGCTGCCTCTGCGAGCTCCCCACTGCTCTTGGGAATCAGCTTCTGGGTTGCTGATGAGGAACTCAAACTGCAATTACCATAATGGCTATGTATATATATGTATATATATATATATCTGAATACAGATGCATAGTGCTTAATATGGTAAGCTGAATATCCTACCTTAAATTAAGCTCCTTAACAGCGGCCCAGGCTTCTTCGAGTTTCAGAATCGCTATGACCAAGCGGGCCATCTGGTTTGGGGCATGTTTGATCCGCAAAGCAACCCCCTCTCCAAGTTGAAGCTGCGCCCTGGTGCTTAGGGTTTAGGGTTCAGGGTTTAGAGGTTTAGGGTTTGGAGTGGAGGAGTGAACATCGGTACCAAGGGGTATACGTGGGGAGTACTTGAAGATATAACACTAATCCCTAAGCCTTAAACCCTATTACTATTGGGATCCAGTCCATCGCTCTCCCTTAAGAACCCGTAAGGCACTTTCGGGAGTTTGACTCGACTGTTCCGTGCCTCAGTCCTGTTTCTGGGTTGCTGTTCAGGAGCTTGGGTTCAGGGTTAGGGTTTAGGGTTTAGGGTTCAGGGTTTCGGGTTTAGGGTTTAGGGTTTAGGATTTTGAGTTTAGGGTTTGGGATTTAGGGTTTAGGGTCTAAACTCCCAGTGTCTCGCGTAACAACCCCCTATACTACTCCCCTATATGACCCCTATATGACGGAGGAGTTTAGACTATAGCTCAGATGAAGTTACCATAACATAGATATTTAGCAAGTAAGGCTGCTTCTACATATTACAGATGAAATTACCATAGTGCGGATATGTAGTACGTAATGTGGTTTCCTACTAAGGACAACTTAGTTTAAGATCAAGCACGCCGCCAGGTGGGTAGTTACCAGGTAAGCATTTACCCCCACCTAAGGCTGGCTCATGTATAGCTCGTAGAAAGGTGACGGCGCCATAAGGGGTCTATATAGGCACCCTTGAATACTTGATACCTGGCTGCAGGTTAGACCCAAACCCTAAAGCCTTAACACCCCAAAGGTCCGGTAACAAAAAACACCCCAAACCCTGGGTTTAGGGTTTAGGGTTTAAACCCTCAGCCTCAGGTTTTTGACGGCATGCGGACCATTGTGGAGCAGCTTACAGCCGCGTACGGGGGACCTGGTATCAGTCCAAAACGGCTACTTAGCCACCTATAGCCCGGCTCGTGAGCTATAGGGGTCATACTGTATTTTGCAGAAGTACATAGGGTTGTACGGGTTGTAGAAGAATGGAAAATCAAATTGACAAGGACATGACAACTACTAAAGTTGAGAGGGTTTAGCCTGGCTCCTCAGACTCTTTTTGGGTTCCTACCACTTGTATTAGGGAGGCTAAACGTTTTGCATTTAAGGGGTCCTGCACTCAGCTAAGGCTATGCATGCCAAATCCGCAGGAGGTGCCAGTGAGCAACTTACCCGTCTCATGAAACGAGTTCAGGGCTTAGGGTGTAGGGTTTAGAGTACGGTATGCCTTAAGCCCGAAGCCTTCAACCCAGCATGGACAACAAGGCCAGCCTTTGCCAAACCTCAGGTAGACACTGGAGCGTTGAGGGTTAAGATTTAGGGTTTAGGGTTTAACTTGGGTAATTCCCCCTTACGGTCGCTGTCCTTTGCGGTGTTTTGTTAAGGGGGCATTATAACTCTTAGTATGCTTGTGATAACTTATTACTGTCAGGGGGAATGACCTAAGGTTTGTGGCGCTAGGCCTTGTATAACCTCTCGTATCCCCTTCGCTCGACCCCTAACCCTAAACCCATATACATAGATACATTTAGACACCCCCCCCCCCCAAGGATAGAAAGTGGACATCTCCCGAAACCCGAAGTCCTACACCCTAAACCCTAAGCCCTAAACCCTCAAGCACATACAAACTTACCATTACTTTGGGTACCCCAATTTCCTTCATTTTAAATTTCAAATCTTGAAGATCCAAAATCCGCCCCCAAGCCTGAAGTAATGGCAGTAAACCCTAAACCCTAAACCCTAAGGCAAGCATGGATTCCAGCAGATGGTCGGCTTGAAGAACATCACCGCCATGCAGCAGTTTCTCTGGGTTAGGGTTTATAGGGGTTACAGGGTTTGTAGGGTTTGGGATTTAGGGTTTGGGGTCTAGGGTTTGGGTTTAGGGTTTAGGGATCTAGGGGTCTAGGGTTGGTGTTAAGGAACTTGAATGCACGTTTTCGGCTTAGGGTTTAGGGTTTAGGGGCTTGCGGTTGGTGTTGAGGAACTTGAATGCAGGTTGTTGGTTTGGGGTTTAGGGATATAGGTTTTCGGGCTTTGGGTCTGGGATTCAAGGTGGCTTGCTGAAGGAACCTTACTTCGGTTATAATTAGGTTAACGTACTTGAATCAAGTGGAAAATAACAGGGAGCATGAAGTGGAAGCTGGGGTAAGAAATGGGTTGCATGACAAAGGGAGCTGAGGAACTCGCATTGATCTGCCACAGTTAGGAAATCTCAGAATTTATTCTATGTCCATATTTTAGCCGCTTCGTTTAGGTTCCTTTACCCCCAAACCCTAAATCCCCAATCCTAAACCCTTAACCCTTAACTCTAAGTCCCAAACCCTAAACCCTAAACCCTAACAGCCACCCAGGTTTGTGAAACGCGTGGTGGAGAAGCTTGGAGGCTTCGTGCCCTACGTCGTCCCCGCTGAGTTCGCGCAGCTTTTCCTGCACCCCCAGTCGAGCTTCTTACCTGAATTTTTATGGTAATATAATCCCTTATATTAGGGCTTAGGGTTTAGGGGCTGGGTCTAAACTCCTTGAAGGGGGTTATATAGGGGATTATATACGGGACGATAGTAGGGCTTATTAAGAGAAGTACTAGGAGTTTAGACAGTGGCTTATATGGGGGGCATATAGGGTTCAGGAATACTACCCAATAATAATGTAGAACCAAAAGAAAAAGATCATGGAACATGGAATGCAACCTGGGGCTTATATGGGGTGTTATATCTTACGTCGGGGGAACAAGGAATTAACGAATGGATCCTTATGTTAGTTCCCACATAATTCGGACTGATACCCTAAACCCTAAAACCCTAAACCTAAATCCTACTTTTCCCCGTTTGAGGCTATAGGGACTTGGAGAACATGTTGGTTGCGCATCCGCAGTGGGCGCGGTGGGACATCTTTGCATCATGCACGGTGGATACAACTGCCCTGGAATCCAGCTTGGGTGGCAAAATTGGCTACATCTGTGGCCAGGGCTACGCCGACTGTTCCAAGCTTCCGGTAGCCTGTAAGGCTAGCGTGTGGGACACTGCATCGTGGGTCTTTGGGAGCCACTTTAAGGAGCTCATGTATGCGAGAGACGAAACGCCGAAGCCTCTGCAGCACTGTGACCTGGACGGTGCGGCCCACTTCGTGAGGTCCAGTATATGGAAGAAGTCAGCACTAAAGCACGAATGTATCATTCCGTTGGGCTGGACAGATCCAAATAAAGCGTCTTTGTGGCACCTCTGGGATATTGGGGGTTAGTAGGGAATGAGGGAAGACATTACATAGGGGTTATGTAGGGATAGTATTCCCTTCTTCCCTACTAGCCACCAGTAAGTATCAATAATCAGAAATCCTTGTCCGGGTCTTGAAAACCACCCAGGTGTTCATCACCCAGCATGGCTTCTATTTGGTTTGGAGTGATCAGGACCCGACAGCTATGAAGGTCTTCATCCACCGGGCTGTGGCTCACCAGTGCTTTAGGGTTTGGGGTTTAGGGTTTAGGATCTGGGGGTTTAGGTCTTTACTCCCTGAAATATACTGTAGGGTTTAGGTTCTACCTCTGATGGCGCCGCCAAGCCCCAAAACCTTACCCCTAGCCGTAGCCCATTTAAAGCGACCTCACCCGACCTCACCCTAAATGGTGGTTTATATAGAGAATAGTACCAAAACGGCCTGAGATTGGGACTTGAAATCAGTCAAAATTACCCTGGTTTAGCCCGACTCTGTTCTTTGAGCCGTCGATGCCGGATTGGGAAGCCCCCATTTACGTCTAGATATAAACTAGACCCAAGTAAGGTGGAACACACGGGCGGACAGGTGCGCGAGGTCGTCCCGCGGAGGTTCATCCGGCAGATGCTGGGTTGCTGTTTAGGAATCTAATTTAAGTTACCATCTTAGGGAACCCCTATGAATTACTACATATACCCATCATGGTAACTTAATTTAAGGTCCTAAACCCTATATACCCCATATAGGCATGATCGCCTAAACTCTACACAGACTCTAAATAAACCCTTAGGAACCTAGGAAGCATTTAACTACTGGCATTTAACTTCTTTACAACAAGA